ATATATATATATAAATATGTATATTGTAATGTTCTCATTTTTTCTCTTTTATTAAAAGCTTACTTTGAACATCTCCTAAATGCCAGAAACAATTAATTACTTTGAGAAGAAAAAAAAAAATTTCTGTAGTTTTAACAAATTGCATTTAGTTTAATGCATGTGATGATGCTCTGCATTGTTCCTTTTTTTATCTGTGCCGGCAGGATGGCAATGCTTACCCAGTCATGAAGGACTGACTGCGTGAGGATGAGATGGTCCTCCGGCCCACTGCCATGCTCCTGCTGACAGCGCTGGCTTTACGGGTGTAGCTGGCTGAACGGCACCTCCCGACATCCCGTCTGACGGGAGAAGGGCTGCTGACCCTCACCTGGTAAGAGGAGGTGCTGGTGTCCTCGAAATGGCGGCGATAGGATGAGATCCTTTCTGGGCTGCGACTCATCATGGGTCAGTGGCTAAACTTTAAGGCCTTGCTGTGTTGATCTTCCTCTCACAAGTTCTGCTCGCAAATCCAGACTCCCTGAGATCCAGGCGTTTTATAGTCCGTTATAAACATGAGTCAATGCTATGGGAATGTTGAGCCTCTGCTCCATCAAGAATTGGGCCCGTCACTCGAACATCTGTCAGGGTCTTGAGAGGTGTTGAATGAAGGGGTAAATTATGAGACAAGGCTCCATTAGTCTGGAGGTGCAGTCGTGATGTGATGTGGTTTGATATGTAGGGATTTTAATTACACATTCTTCTAGACAGGGCAAGGAGTAATGTCACAAGGTCAATCTGAGCAGAGGGAGATGACACTAATGTGGTCACTATTTACATGGCAGAATGTGCAAAAATGAGAAATGCGAGAGGAATTAACTAGAGTGTTTTGCTGGCCTGTCTGAGATTCACGCTTGAGATGACTAAAGGATGTAAGTGGGAATTACAAAGTCCTTGGAGTCTCTTTAATCAGGATCTAAAGAATAATTTTTGCTTAAAAAGTCAGTTTCAGCTGAAATATGGTCTAATCTTTATTCATTACAGAACTCTTTGTTTAATGCTGATCGAATGTGGTTTATGAGATTCTTTCCGACTATCTAAGATTTGCCAGGCATGTGGGAGGAAGGCTGGGTCTGCATCTCTCTGAGATGTGAACAGTGGCAAAATGAGCTCAAACACTCAGGCGTTATTTTACTCCTGCTATCTCATTCAATTACAGTACATTAGTCACTCATCCCTATAGCAGTGCTCATACAGGAAAAAAAACTATGACAGCATTGGTAAAGACAATAGACTAGCCTCTTTATTGCCAATAATAAGCCACCGTTATCTTTGTCTGCTCATGCTGCTTTGCTCACTTATAATTAAAACAATTTTCTAAATTTCAGATTCATCAGTAAGAGACAGCTTTGTCACATCCACATTAATGACAATGGTACACATAATTCTTATAATCGTAAACATAAGTATAGCTCAAAGACCAATATGACTAATAAGACTAACACTGCACTCTCAGAAAAGAAAGTTAGTGAGGTATTAATATGTACACTATATCTTTTAGTTAATAATTAGGTACAAAGATTTACCTTTGGAAAGTATACTGCCCCAGTGACAGATTTTGTACCTCTTTTTGTGAGAGTGTAAGACAATCTTCTATGATTATATAATGGCAGTGCCATATACAACTCTTGTTATCATTAGTCACAGATTACACTGAAACATGCATAAGCAAATAAACAGTAACAATACCATTAAATATTAAAATGTAATTTATTCCTGTGATGAGAAAGTTGTCCTGCTTAATATTTTTTGTTAAAACAGTAATTCATTCAGGGTTCTTTGATGAATAGAAAGTTTAACAGAACATAATTTATTTGAAATAGAATATTCTTTGCTGAATAAAAGTATTAATTTCTTAAAAAAATATGTATTTGCACAGTGTTTTTGTAGCTCACTAAATTACAAGGATATGTACATCTGATTTTTACATTTTGTGAAGAAAACCCGAGTAATTTTTTCCTGTGCAAAACTAAAGCCACTCCATTTAATGTTGATATTCATATTTGTAGCACAAATGATGAAGGATGAGTTACAACCTACATTTTAATATTTATTTCAATTTTACATTTAAGACAAATGTGAGATAACACTGATTTTTTTTATATCAAATAATCACAATACACGCAATGTAGCATCAAGGTTTTATTTTCAAGAATACTTTTAAAGTTACTTTTAAATAGTGCTATGTTGACTTCATAAATCACTGAATAAAATTTATATTTTTTTCCTGATATTTGGATTGCCTGCTCAAAATATTTAGGTTGAACTATTAGGCAAATAGCCAAGAGCTCTTTGAACAGAAGTTGTAACATACACACTATAGGCCACTGCACTTCCCATTCAAACTGACCACATCAAATAAAATATCAGTGTAGAATGTGCACTGCTCACATCATATAACAGTGCATCTTTTAGGCTTAAAATATATTCACACCATTCCTTTATTTCCAGTCAATACCGTTAAATGATTCAGTCTTACTGGCACATTTCGACTCGGTATCAATGGTATAATTCAGACTGCAGTACAAGTCAATCAAACTTCTATCAGAGTGTTAACATGACTACAGCGTGACAATCACTCTTTGGTTTGTATTAATTGATGTTCTGCCCATTCTTGCCATCCACCTGGATAATACTGGACCCTACAAGAAGAGAGAGACAACTTAGACAACTAAAGCAAACAGAACTCCAATATACAGCACTATAGCATATTGATCTTAAACTGGTTTTAATGTGCAATGTCTTTTATTTAGTCAGAAAAAAATAACATTTTCTGTTATGCATTTCATAAAAGCACTTATCCTAGAATTATCCTTTCATTTTACATATTAGCATGGTTTTGTTTGTTTTTCAACCTTAGTATACTATATAAAATTGAGCATAGTCTGGCTTATAATGTGTGAATGATACTAATGCATCTACATACTTATGATGAGAATAACAGAGAAAAACCATTAAGATCCCCAAACCTGGGAAAAAGTTGGATCGCCATTGAAGCATGTATTTATTTCTAATTTAGCGTTTTGTTCCACCATTTTATTTTAGCTTTGAAATATAAGTGAATTGCATTTCAAAAATGTATATTTTAATAAAATAATAGTTCAACATATAATTCAACATTTAATTTTGGCCTATGGCCTGCAATCAGGTTTGATTTTTGACCCATCATAGTAAAAAGTAAAAAGTTTGGGCAGCCCTGCATTAAAATATTACATTCATCCCTTATTGTATATTAAAAATAACTGCTCACTTGGTGTATCCTAAAGACACTGCCGTTTCCAGGGCTTTTTTGCTTCTTACACCAGCTAGACAGGTGAACACTATATTTTGGGATTGTGATGGCATGACTCCTCCGTATTTCTCCTTGAAATCATCAGGCGTGAGCTGGAGAGCTCCATTCACCTGTCCCACTGCAGAAGAGAAGGTGCAGCATTGTAATTTATATGATGTGTCTTTAAATAAACAGTATACTTATTAGGCCACGCACTGACTTACATGGCACGTTAATTGACCCCGGTATGTTCCCGTATTCCCGGAGTTCCCACGGCTCACGCACGTCTATAACCACACTGGAGTCAGACAGCAGCAGTTTCTTCAGCTGCTCGTAGGACACATCTATTGAAGGCTGGCTTGAAGAACTGAAATTCCGTAATGAACTACCATCATAACGAATGACACGGATGTCTGAAAGACAGATAGACACGTTTGACCAACAGAGGCCGTTCTTCTGCGACACGTGTAGTAGTCATGTGATATTTACCTTTCAAAAGAAACATGTCACCTTTAGAATAATTTATACAAGTACTTCTTACAGCCCAAACTTTTACAAATACGCAGAGCCAGAAATAACATATGTTAAATCGGTAGAGATAAATGCAAAATGATTTTTTTTTAGAACTATCGATGTCAAGCACGGTGTATTAAATTTAACTGTTAAATATCAATGCAACATTTCAACACTCACGCTGTAAGCAACGCAAATGTGTCCAGCATGAAGTAGTTGTCAGTTGTCTTGTAACAGGAATGGCACTTCTGCTCGCTAAAACGCGGACAATACTCCTCGTCAGCCGTGAATAGACATTTAACGCCATGATAGGATTTATGGTAATGAAAGCTGCAAGATGACGATGCTCCTTATTTCTTGTTTTGTATTTAAATATAGCCGAAAACACGGTCCAACTGATTGTAAGTTACGTAGCTGGATTGCAGCTACCCACTACTCCTGCACGCATGCGCACAACTACGTATTACCAGCGACGCTGGCTCCTCTTTTGACTCCCAAACTCGTATGCAAAAACCCAGGTATATATATAGCTTTTAAGTTGTTTATATGATTATCTCTTTTTTTCCCTATTTTATTTTTCGTTTTAATTACATTTTTGCTTTATGACTTTCTCTTTTCCTAGTTTTTGTATATCTGTTTAACAAAGTGCTATACTGTATTTTGATATATAAGTAATTATTGTCATGTTTATTGATTATAATTTGACTGGCAATGAAAAATGTAGACCCACGCGTGCCACGTGGTTCCAGTGTTAAACTAATCTTAGTAGAGAAAGTGGACATGCGGGAATTACATTTTTAATGAGTGGTGCTTGCTTTTGAAAAAAGCATTTGAAAATGCAGAGTGTACCTTTATTTGAATTTCTATATGAATAATACATTGTTATTCCATTAAAAATGAAAGTCAGGGTGCAGATCTCATATATGCATATTAACATAAAAAATGCGAAGACAAGTGAAATGTGCAAATACAATGTATAGGCCTAATGCATAATAGATATGTTGCGAAGTGTAACTGATTAAATGATGCAAACAGGAAAATAAAAATAGAGTATCATAAAAAATGGAAAAAAATAAAAGTTGCCCTTTTGCGCTTACATTTATACAAAACACCACGGCACTTTTAAAACAGCTCTTTTGCAACTACAGTAGATATACAAACGAGTTTGGCCATACAAGTACCCGTAGTGCGTCGTTGAGTATGCGACCACGTGACACATGTGATACTTGTGCTTTCTGTTCTTCTCCAAATGCCACCAAATACGCGGACAAACTCTGTTAATCAGAATATAAACTGCGTCGCGGGATTACTCGATTTCTGATTGTCGAAGTGTTAGATTCGAACACCAAAACCACAGGCAGAAATTCTTTCGTATTTATAAACTTGGAAGCATATGTAAGTTATCAGCTTCGCTCTTCCACTTGGCCACTTGACAACTGACGTTAACTCTGTAGTGAGCCTGGAGAGGAGGGGACCATAAACAGGGTGAGCTGGGTTTATTACTGTAAGCCAAAGACCATTTGATGTTTATAGCCACTCTTTTGGAGCAACATTGTGCTATAAACAGTTCTGACTTACTAAAGAAGCAAAGGCCTTTAACCAGCCGGTACCTGCTGTCACTTGTATCAGTTACCTGGGCAAGTCTCAGGTGTCGTGCTGGTGTTGTTACAGTGGCTGTGCTAATAACTTATTTCCTTTGTATGTCTTTATTATCCTCACTTCCTGATTCGTCAGTTCTAATTAATGGTTGTACTGGAGACTTCCTTATCAAAATTGTATTCAAATGCTGGTACAGTATACATGTGGTTCAAATTGGATTTATAGTGACTGCAATGCCTGCCCACTGAGATGGAAAGGAACAATACTCAGGAGTGTCAATAGATTATATTAATTGCAGAGTTTTAAAACTATATGTTCTTCAGTGAAAACAAAATTTGATGAGGGCAAATCAGAATATGCAATATAATGTTTACATTTTGTGAGTCTTGATTTTTTGCTTTTTAGTTACGTTGTATTATTTTAATATTTTTTAGCCTTGTAGTTGCACTATTTTTTATATAATGTTAGGCTAATTAATATATTTTACATATCATTTTATTTTAGCAGCTTTTAGCCTTTTAGTTACATTGTATTATTTTAATAGTTTTTAGCATTGTAGTTGCATTATATATTTTTTAACAATGTTAATTCATATCTTTTTCATACATTTTGTTAAATTTGTAGCCTATTAGTTATTTTAAAAAAAGCAGTTTTTAGCCTTTTAATGACAATGACTTGATTTAATATAATTCTTTTAAAGTAAAAGTAATTTTGTGCCCACCTTGGAAGCTTGCCATGGCCCTCTAGTGAGCCCTGGCTCCCAGGCATGTGTTGTATGATAATGTTCAGAGTTTTAGGCTTCAGAAACATAATTTTAACTGTGCTGTGGGCTCTCATACTTAGCGAGTGACTTTTTTCCTAGATACAAATGCGGCTGAAAGACCCCTTCTCTTTAAAAACCGCAGACATGACCAAGCGGTCTAACAAGCCAAAGAAGCCTCGTGATGAAGACTCGTCCGATGAGGTTGGCGGTAAGGAAAGGTTTCAATGTCATTTCTCATTCCAGTACATTATTCATTGGACTCTTGGTACTCATTTAAAAAATCACAGAGAAGCATCTAAGGGATTTATCAGACATTAAGGATCTATCATGCATGAAGTTCATTCACCCACTCAACACTTTCTTACCCACAAATATATCTGCGGTCGAACAACTGATTATCAAATCTAACTCTGCCTCCAGCACACTTAATCCTATTCCAACATACTTACTCAAAACCCTTTTGCCTTCACTCATCCAACCTATTACTCATATTATAAATAAATAAATCTCTTGACACTGGTTATGTTCCAGAAGACCTAAAAGTAGCTGCCGTCACCTCAATCCTTAAGAAACCTGGTCTTGATAACATAGATCTGAACAATTTTAGACCAATATCAAACCTCCCATTTGTTGCTAAAATACTTGAGAAGGTAGTTGCAGCACAACTGCAGTCTCATTTAGAGAAACATAATCTTTATGAGCAGTTTCAATCTGGTTTCCGTCCCTCTCACAGCACAGAAACAGTACTTTTAAAAGTGGTTAATGATCTCCTGGTTTCTGATTCAGGTGCCCACAGTATCCTGGTTCTCCTTGATCTGAGTGCAGCCTTTGATACTGTTTGCCACTCCATACTTCTTTCTCGACTATCTGCTATAGGTATCACTGGTGCTGCGCTTCACTTCAGTGGCTAACTTCATATCTATCGGATAGACAGCAATTCGTTAGAATAGATAAGAATAGATCTCGCACTGTCACTATTTCTCGTGGTGTCCCCCAAGGTTCTGTACTTGGTCCACTTCTATTTCCCATTTACGTGCTGCCATTGGGTCAGATTATCAGACGTCATGGTCTCAATTTTCATAGCTACGCTGATGATATTCAAATCTATTTTTACGGTTCAACCCAACTCAGTTTGTCCACCCCTTTCTATAGTTTCCTGTCTTCAAGAACTTAAAACCTGGATGTCAGATAACTTTTTACAACTAAATGCAGACAAAACTGAAATCTGCTGAATCCCTAAATCACAGAGCTCCTCCCAGCATGACATCTTGGTAGATATCGATGGTGTCCAGATTAGGCCCTCAACAACTGTGCGAAATCTGTGCGAGTGTTGTTTGACTCTGTGTTATGCTTTGATTCACATATTGGTCAGATTGTTAAATCATGCTTTTACCAATTGCGGAATATTGTTCGTATACGTCCCTCACTTAATTTTGGAGATGCTGAAACTATTATCCATGCTTTTATAACCTCCAGATTGGATTACTGTAACCCCTTATATGGCGGCTTACCTGCCAAAGTTATTAATCGCCTCCAAATGGTACAAAACTCTGCTGTTCGAGCCCTTGCATTTAACCAAAAATCGGCACACATCACTCCCATCCTTCACCAACTTCACTGGCTTCCTGTGGCCAAACGTATTCAGTTCAAACTCTTAGTTTTAGTTTATAAGGCCTGTCACAGCCTCGCACCTCAATACCTTGGCTGAGTTTGTGCAACCATACATTCCTGCACGGACTCTCAGATCTAGCATTGATAACTTGCTTGTTGTGCCCAAGTATGAACTCTCTATGGTGGGTGGTAGGGCTTTCTGTATTATAGGCCCTAAGCTATGGAATAAGCTACCCCATAATATTCATGCTGCCTCCTCTCTCCAGGCCTTTAAGTCTCAACTTAAAACTCATCTATTCACTTTGTTCTCTAAATAACACATTTACCTCTCTGCTTCTCTATTTCTCAACATCTGTTTGTATGACATAAGCCCACCATGGAAGACCACCATCTTGACATAATTGCTTGTATTATTTTGTAAAACGTCTTTGGGCTCTTGACAGTCTGGTGTATTTTGTTTGCCAATTTACTTGTATTATTTTGTAAAGCGTCCTTGGGTTCTTGAAAGGTGCTATAAAAATAAAACATTATTATTATTCAGATTGTGGGTTTACCAATGCTTGCATAGAGTTGTAAACTACAGTAAAGGTGTATATTTTGGTGCCATCCAGGGTTGACATGCCAGCATGTGAGCAGGGCTGTGGACCTCAGCTCAGTGAAGAAGGCAGTGACAGGCAGCCTGTGGTCTATATGCTCCGATTGCCTTAAAGAGAGGAACATTCATGAGGGAGAACCAGCAGGAGCACATGACATCCTTGTGTGCCTCAAGTGTGGGTTCCAGGTGAGATCTTCACATTCTGCAGCAGTAATATATTGTGTTGTGTGTACTGTAGTTTTGTCAGTGTGCAGTGACAGGTTGTTAGTGGCATATTTGCATTTCACAAATGTTAGAAACTTGACTGCCAAAATAGACAATTTATTGTAAGATATTTACACACAAAGCAAAGATAACTGACAAGTCATTTTAAGGCATTTTTATAGGTTCTATGCCACTCTGATGTGTCAAACATTTTGCTCAAAAGTTTGGGGGACGGTAAGATTACAAACACTTTTTTTTGTAGATGTCTCTTATGTTCGCCAAGGCTGCATTTATTTGATTGAAAAATACAGTAAAATCAGTGAAATTGTAAGATATTATTACAATTTAAAATATCTGTCCTCTATTTTAATATATTTTAAAATATAATTCATACCTGTGATGACAAAGCTGAATTTTTAGTGATCATTAGTACAGTCTCCAGTCACATGATCCTTCATAAATCATTCTCATATTTTGATCTGGTGCTCAATAAACATTTCTTCTTATTATCAATGTTGAAAACAGTTTAGCAGTATAATAGAAACTGAGATACAGATTTTTCAGGATTGGTAACTGGAAAGTTAAAAATAACAGCATTTATTTGAAATAGATTTTTTTTAACAATGTAAAAGTCTTTTACTTTCACTCTTGATCAATTTAATGTGTCCTGGCTGAATAAATTGATCAATGTATTTAAAAAATATCTTACTGACCCCAAACGTTTGAACATTGTTGTAAAAAGTGGAGATTAAAAATGCAGGCTGGCCTAACACACAGCAGTGGCGGTTGGGTACTGCAAGTTTTAAAACCAAATAATGAAGTTTTATTAGGCCTATGCGTAAAAAGGTCATATTATTCACTGACCCCTGGTCCAAAGCATTTTCTAAAAGTAATTGTAGTGTCCCTACTCTTTCCTTTGCCTTTTACCCACAGTTTTTGTATGGCGCATTTAAGCCGTGACAGCACATTTGGGAATATGACAGGTTTGTTTGGCCTTGATTTGACAGTCTAAAAAAAAGTTGTGTTTGCAATCACTTGATTTTAATTGACCGTGCTGAACAGGAAGAATTGTACTAAAACTTGTCCAAAACTTTTTTCCATCGAGGGTCATATATGGTAACCTTACTATTGTGTCTCTCTCTTTCAGGGTTGTAACCAGGCAGAAACTCAGCATTCCACAAAACACCTGCAAGCTCATCACTCTGACTCTCACTGTATCACCATCAGCCTCAGTACATGGAAAGCCTGGTAGGAAACATCAACTGATGATACTGTATTCATGATTATTTATCCTTATGCATTTTTTTGAAAGATCACCATATAAGAAAAAGTTCGGGGTAAGAGCAAGTTTGCATTAAATTGATCAAAAGTGACAGTAAAGACATTTACGTTGTTACAATTGTTTTCAAATAAATGCTGTTCTTCTGAACTTTCTATTCATCAATGATCACAGTTTCAACAAAATACTAAGCAGCACAACTGTTTTCATTATTGATAATAATAAAAAAGTGCAAATCAGCATATTAAAATTATTTCTAAAGACTGGCGAAATAGCTGCTGAACATTCAGCTTTGCAATCACAGAAATAAATTATATTTTATAATCTATTAAAATAGAAAAGTTATTTTAAGTTGCTGTATTTTTGATCAAATAAATGTGCCTTGATAAATGCTTTAGTAAGCATAAGAGAGATTTTTTTCAAAAACATAAAATTCTTACAGACCCCAAACTTTTGAAAGGTAGTGTGTGCTCTTTTGTAAAAGACATGAAAGGCATAATAAATGTAAAAATTCTCCTTTAACAGGTGTTTTGAATGTAAGGAAGAGCTCTCCACTCATTGCAATAAGAAAGCGCTGGCTCAGACTCTGGATTTCCTGCAGAAGCACTCAGCAAAGGCCACCTCAGGTAGTTATTCCACAGGAAAACGAGCAGAAGTGTGACTTTCTTTAATCCTAGAAAAACACCTCTTTTTTCATCTGCGTATAATAGTTACAGTCATTAACGCTGTGGTGGAGATTCAGCTTTGATAGAGGCTGACGCTTCTTTAAAGATTAAAACAAGAAAATCCCCTTGTTTTCCAGTACTGTAGGGAGCTCAAATAAGAGCTGATTTCTCTTTTAGAAGCTCCTCATTGTTTCTCTGTACACAGCAATGCCATGTTGGCACATCTGTCAGTCATTGACCTTTGTCCTGGGATCACTGGCTTTTAGTTTGCCAGATACAATGAGGGACATACGTTTCATCCCCGCAGTCTTTAGGCAGCCTGAAAGCACTGTGATATTTCACAGGCAAAAGAATCTGCCGTTTTCTTCAATATCCTCTGCTACATTCACTTCAGTTAAGTTTCATTTGTAGCACTTTTTCACAATATATGAGGTATTTTACACTTGAAATAGTTAACCTTGGATCATTCTAACATTCTAATTAAATCCTAGGTTATTTTGTCTCATTTTTGACTTTTCACAACGCTCATATTTTATTTAAAATCGGTAATTTCACACAATACATTTCTAAACAGCATTAGCAACCATGATTGAATACATTCTGTTTGCAACTGATTTAAATAACGTCTTGTCTCTCGCTTTATTATCAGTGAGAAAAATCTTAATGCCATAAATCCTCCTTGGCTTACAGCACGCTGTGTTTACGGTACAATGACCCTCTCATTTTAGCATTGATTTGTGTCTTATAAGTGATGTATTAAAATTTGTGATACTGGCTCAGTCTTTAGGTCCTGCTGAGTGTGTTACCCAGGTGTAACTGGCTGACTGCTTTCTGTCATAACAGCAGCTCCCCGGCTCCACCTAGAGCTCCAGCAGCAGTGCTGCCTTGGATGCATGATGAAGTTACTCTGTTACACATTTAGAATGAGAAGCATTTTCTCAGTTATTTCTCCACTTACTTGTCATGTCTTGGAAAAGTTTTTTCCAAGATCATCAGATCCATGATCAGCTGCTTCTTTGTATGATTTTTTTTTTTTATTGATGGATTTGTCTTGTGGGTCATATTTCACTCCAAAATCAGAAGAAAAAAAATAATCAGAAAGGAGGAAATTCTCCATTGTTGTGACATTGTTTACATGATAATGTGCTTACAGTAAGTATCATAAAAATAATGTCACTACTATGCACATTACAGTTCAGACATTTATGGTCAGGAAGATTTTTTTGAAGGAATCAATACTTTTATTCAACAAGGACACATTAAATTGATCAAAAGTGGTGGGAAAGACATTTGTAATGTTACAGAAGATTTCGGTTTCAAATAAAAGCTGTTCTTTTGAACTTTTTGTTCATCAAAGAATCCTGGAATTATTCCACCAAAATATTAAGCAGCCACAACATTAATAATAGGTCATGTTTCTTGAGAACCAAATCAGCATTTTTGATTAATCACGTGACACTAAAGACTGGAGTAACAGCTGCTAAAAATTCAAATTTGCCATCACAGAAATAAATTCCACTTTAAAACATATTAAAATAGTTATTTTAAAATTTCACTTATTTTGAACAGTTTAGACTTTTTTTGTCCTGTTGTTGTTGTTGTTACATTTTTCATTTTGTTTTGTGAAATTGGAGTGAGGTATGACCTGGACATGTTCTTGCAAGTGTTATGAGATTCATTCACCTATATCATTAATTCTGTAAAGCCTAGCTGAAATTATGAGAATCAACATAAGAGTATGATCATGTGGTGTAGTTGAAGAAACCATCTTAATTACTTTCTGTTACAGCTGTTTTATTTGAGTTTCACCTATAAGTGTAAAAGTGAGCTTGTATTCTCTGGTATGCAAACTTAAGACACCTTCTCCAGTTGACTTTGACAGTAAATGCGGAAGCACAGTGTCTGTTACAATTCTCATTTCCCTTTTCAGTGATCAGCAAAGGCTAGTGTATAAAATTTCACATAGCTGTGAAATATGCTACCACCTTGTCCTTGCATGATACTTAACAGTCATTGAATCCGTTTCTGTCCCTGTCCGTGCCCTGATGCTCAGGTGTAGCAAAGTTGAGCTAATTTAAACCCAGCCTAACTGGTTGACCGCCACTCCAGGAGCAGCTAGGCTCTTGCTGGAGAAGCTGCGCTCCAATTCCGTTACTGCTGCATGGCTGCGCTCATTAATGGCATTAGGCGCTTGAGTGGTGCTCCCCGGTCGGATTCCCTGAAGAACAACTGCAGCTGTGTGGCGATCGGATCCTGAGCTCTGCTCCTCCCCCTGCCCTGCCCTGCCACATCTCCCATGATTTCTCGTCTCTCACTCTGAGCTTCAGGGAGAGGGTCTCGTTTTCTTCAGGAGGAGCAGCTTGTTTCCAGCTTGCATCCTCAGCTGTTAAAAGGCGGTGGATGTTATGAGAAGGACTTTTTGCTTGTGAAATAGCTGTGTTGTCACATTTACTTCAAACAAAACTTTTGAAAACTTTTGATTATTTCGCAACTACGCTTAGGAAATAACTTTTTATTCTTTATTTTAGTGGAAAGCCAGTCCACTCCAGACAGAGTAAAACAGACTCAATCATCTTCGCAGGATGGTCTTGAACATATTCAAACATCTTTGTGTTCATCAGATGATAATTGTATATAATCTCTGATCTGATCAAGCCCGATAGACTCTCCGAGCCAATAAACTCGAAGACAGAAAAGGGAAAAACCGTTGCACACTTGGTGACGTTCTTCTGGTGAGGACTAGAAGGTAGCTGGTGGTGGTCTGTGGTATTTGGCCAGAGTTGGGCCACCTTCTGCCCACATCCTTCTTACCTAGTTTTTTAAATTACCTGTTGCCATTCTTCCATGCTCATTGTTCCTGGCGAGCTGACTAAATGAGGGAGAAACGGGCGGCCATTGTGGCTGTGAAATGAACTGGCGCTGGCATAGAGGAGCTGGTGAAATTGCATTTCTGCAATATTTGAAGGCCAGGGTTTTTTTTTTTAGACACAGCCTGTTGTTGTGTTCGCTTTTTCTCATAGACTCGTGGCACAAAAGAGCCCCAGCAAGAATTTTCCAGAATTCATAATAGTTTCCCACAACAACAGCAGGGAGAAGAAAGAAAATCTATTAACTGCGCTCTCTCACCAAAAAGGCCTTCAGCTCAAGTACCAGAGTCTTGGTAGAAAGAGACTTGACCTTAGAGAGCCAGGCTTGTGCTTGAAACACAGCTGGGAAGGCTTTGTTTGAGGAAATTAAAATGTTTTTGGTTCAATAGGCATCAGAGGCTGGCACATGCAGCAGTTGAATCTTCATTTTCTCTCATTGATTTTCAGTCTCATTTCATTAGGTGAGGGTTCAAACTTATTTTGCTTTACATTTCTTGTTTTTATTCATTTATTCTTTTTTCAAACACAGTTGCAAACAATTTGCATGATAGTCCTGACTAAGTGGATAATATTAAAATAGAATTGTACCTTGTACTCCGGGTCTCTTTTGTATTTATTATGGTTCCTAAACCATTCTAAAACAGCTAAGCACCTAAAGGGATAGTTCACCCAAAATTGGTGAACTTACTTGAAATTACTCATTAATTACTCATTACCCATATGTCGTTCCAAACCTTCATTCATCTTCGGAACACAAATTAAGATATTTTTGATGAATTCCTAGCACCATTTTGGAGAGTATCACATACATAAACAACGTATGCAACGTATACGTATACGTTGTTTATGTTCAGATCAAAGTGTAAACAGCACAAACAATGTATCCGCGTACGGTGCTGCTGACACAGAATAGCATGCGTTGTTTACGTATGTGATACTCTCCAAAATGGCGCTGTATTAAAGGCTCCTGGAAGAGGGACCTTTATTATGAAACTGGAGTCATCATAGTACTTCGGTAGAGGGCAGTGTAGTTTGATGAGCTGCCGCTGTTTGCTGTGTTTGAGTGATCTGTTCGAGCCGTCAGCTGCAAGGATGATACTTTCACTTTGTTCGTGGGGATTTTTGCAGATTTAATATCAAGGTGGTAGTCACTGACCACAAAGTAAGCCTATGTTATTTATATTTGTGTTTACAGTGATCGCTACAGTGTTATATGCGTTAGTACCATATGAACATGCCCAGACTTGTCCTGTAACGATTGTTCTGTAGTATTCAGATCGGGAATATTACTTAACAGCTAATTATTCATTCTTGATCAAGATATAAATCAGTGTTACGATGTCTTAATGACTTGATGTTGTTCTGTTAAGCTGCTACAATACCAAACGAGTGATTAGCGTTCTGTTTATGCAAATGTTACTCCGATGCGCCCCGATTCTATCCATCTATGGGAACTTTGTTCATAGGGACAAATGATCATTCATGACTTGTAGTTTTCTGTGAAATACCTTGTTTCCCTTCATTTAACTGTATGTTCAGTAGAGAAATGCCAATTATGTGAATTATGAATGCTTTGGTTTCATTATGTAACCGTAAATATTATTATTGTTTATCTATATCTTTCGCTTATTCATTTCTCGATTATACCTATTCTGCAGACTACCTACGCCTTTGATTGTACCTCTGTGGTCCTTCCCTTTTTTCTACTATTACACCATCGAAAGCTAATCACCTGTCTCTTCATTATTGGTGCTCTGACCGGCACCCAGGGAGGTTTACTCATCCATTACCTGATCAGAACCTAACAGTCCCAAAGTCTCTATAACAGGCGCTCTAGGGTGACACGGAGGAGATGAAATTGTTGAATAAAGATGTTATTTTTGTTTTCTTTGTGCACAAAAAGTATTCTTGTAGCTTCGTAAAATTATGGTTGAATCACTGATGTCACATGGAATATTTTAACGATGTCCTTGCTACGTTTCTGAGCCTTGATTGTGTTAGGATCCTTGCTGTCTATGGGAGGGTCAGAGAGCTCTTGGAATTCATCAAAAATATCTTAATATGTGTTCCAACGATGAACAAATTTGTTTGTTT